GTGATACATAATAAGGGAACCACAGCTGATAAAATCACCGCATATAGGTAAACACTAATGAGCAAAAGTGTGAATCATTTTAAAGGCATCATTTTCTTAATTAAGGTTAATATTAATGATTTTTCTTATATTTCAAATAATTACTCAAGTATTAATGTCAGTTATCACTGATGTAGCCATTGCCTGTAAGCACAGCGTTCATGGTATTTTTCCAACTATTTAACCTAAAATGCAAGTATTTCTCTATCTACCCTCAAAGTCAGTGCTTCTGGAATAACTGCAAACTATTTCTTATTATCAGAAATACTTTTTAATTCTGTATAATCTTGTTTTGAGCTATGGTTTTTATCTCCTCTCAGACTGTTCATACTTATTTCATAAAACATTTCCTCCCAAAAGATACTTTTCCATACCATGTAAAATGCATAGAGTTTCAACTTAATTTCCACCTCTAAGTAAATAAAGTCATGTGCCTTTATGTGATACTGATTCTTTATTTACAGTTTTTTACTCAATTAGAAAAAAGATTTAAAGTAGCTTATATATTTATGAATACAGAGAGAATGCAAGCAGTGTAAAAGGAGTAAATGTAGGTTTTTCCAGTTACCCCAAATTTGCTGAATATTATAATGTGACATTCGATTTGGCTCTGAGTTTTGTTAAAGAAAAAAATTATTCTGACACTTGTTAAAATGGTAAGGAAGACTTTATTCAGGACCATTGTGATGTGTCAAGACTGTTGCAATTGGGGAGAGAGATTCAGCTCAACTCTGAATCCAACAAAGACAACTGGGGATTTATAGCCAAGTAACAGGTTGTGTGTGGGGGCAGGGGCAAGGGGTGTTGGTGGATTGAAAATTACTAAGAGGAGACGTCAAGCGTAGGGAGAATTTTTGCTAAACTTACTTTAACAGGATTCTTGCTGAAAGGTAGGCCAAGGTGATCAGATATTAAGGGCGGGGGATGAGGGATTTGATTAGATATTGAGAGGATCAGATATCAAGAGTGGAAAAGCCCTCTCTAAGCTGACTTAGCAGGATTCTCATTAAAACTGGACACTGCAAGGATGGACACTGGAAGCCCAATGTTGAGGCCTAGATGAGAAGAGGGTTCAGAGGAACCTGACTACAGTTTGGCCAAGGAGAGTCTTTGTCAGTTTTCTAGTGACTAAGGCAAGGGAAGAACATTTGGCATCCAGAAATAGCACTGTCCATAACAGTAAAGAATACCATCTTTCTCTACATTAGCATAGAATTGAACTTGGGTCTGATTTTATCATTTGAGTTTCATTTTTTCATAAAAGTACACTGGGAGGCAGTATGTAGATAAGGAGCATTTAAACAGAGGTGGTGACAGAATGAGCTGTGGGGACATCTGAGGGCCCAGCAAGCTCAAATGCCCTGAACCATGCTTTGTGTGCTGGAAGAAGGATGGAGAATCCAATGTGCGTGGAGTGAAGTGACCAAAGGATAGAGAAATAGGACTTGAGGGAAGAGGTATATCATTTCAGACCTTAGAGACCGCTGTGATATCTTCAAGTTTAACTCTGAGTGAGATGGGAAGCCACTGGAGGGTTCTGATAGAGAAATGGTCTGACTTACATTTTAAAGGGATCAATCTGACTGCTGCCATGAGAGTAGATTGTAGGAGGGCAACGATGGAAGCAGGGACACCAATTAGGAGGCTTTTGCAATAGCCAAGGAGGGGCATGATGGCTGCCTCTTCCAGGATAGGAGCTGTAAAGAAGGTAAGTGGTGGTCGTATTCCAAATATGTTTTGAAGGCAGAGGTGAGGGATTTGCTGATGAATGAGGCTGATCCGCTAAAAGGATGAGATAACTTTTTTTTGAGGTGGGGAAGATTGCAGCAAAAATAGATTCTTTGGAGGAAGAATAGCAGGTCAGTTTTTGACATTTTTAACTCACGATGCCTATTTGACTTCAGATAGGGCCTAAGGAGAGTATTTTCAGCCATTGGGTCTGATCACCTGAGAAATGAGTGTACATAGATAGCTCCAATGACTGAGATCCTAGTAGGCACTTATTTTCTCTGGGTTGCCCTCGTTCGGCTCTATTGGTTACTCAAGATTGGCTTAGAAATCATATGTTAGGGTGCCATCACCTGTTCTTCTGCTCAACTCTGCAAACAATTTCATGGCACTTACTGAATAGTGTTGCACTTGCCTGTTGATTGCTCATCTCCTCCATTAGACTGTCAGTTCCTTGAGGAAAAGGTGTATAGTACATAAGTGATTTTCCAGTGAAAGAATAAATAAAAAATCTTTGGATTTAATGTAAAATCTAAGTACTGTTCGTCTCTGTTTACCTCACCCACCTCACCTCATGCTTATCTTCCCTTTGCTTACTACATCACAGCCCCCCTTGTTAATTCCTTAAAGGCACACCACATTCTCAACTCCCTCCAGCCTCATGGCTTTCTTCTATGCCATTTTCCTTCATAGAATGCCTTTCTCCCCTCATTGTGGATCTGCTAGTGCGTTATAATTCATTGGGTCCTGGTTTAAATGCTAAGTCTTAAGAGAAGTACTTCCCAAACCTTCATTCTAATCCACCCCCATATTGTCTCTCCTAACACTCTAACTTTGTGACTTAATAGCATTTATGACAGTTTGTAGATTTATAAGTATTTGTAAGATCATTTGCTTACTATCTATTTTCTTAATAAGTTTATGAGAACAAAGGAGAATGCCTGTTTTGTTCATTAATATGTACCCGGCCCTCGCCACTATCCCAGACAGTTAATAGACCTTTTATAAAGGAGTATAGAATAAAAGCAAATAAAGAGCTCCATATATTTGTATTATTATCAATGAATGTGGCTAATACAATCAATGTATTTGTGATTGTTTTCATTACAGAAAACCATAACACCTTTTGATAAAAACGTTTTAATCTGTTTTCTCTTAAAATTGGGAGAATATGAGTTTGTGGAATGAGAATGAGTCTCCTGCTTTTTCAGCAGCACTTGGTTTTTATAAGTATGGAAACATTTTCCCTTTTGTACAGAAAAAATGTGCTTTCCAGAACTGGATCCCCATAGGGAAAGTTTCATTTCCCCTCTTCACTATTTTAGCATATGGTGTAGAAGAGCACATTTAAAATCTATATACACATCTGAGAAACCATAGCAGTATGAGAAACTGTTTTTCAAATCTGTTTAAGCAAAAAAAAAAGTTGAAAAAACTTTATTCAATAAATATTATACCTTACTTACATGGAAAAATTATGCATTCAAGAACAATTTTTTTATCATTTAAAGTTACTTTATCTTATAACTTTTCCTTTGTTGAGATCAGTTCAACATAAAGACCTCATAAAAATTCTTGGAAGCTTTTCAAACCAATAATGTTTTGAGTACTCTATTATTTATACTAAGCAAATTTTAATACTTTTTATTATTTAAAAAATGCATATATTTATAAAATTTAATAGAACTGTTGTTTCCAAATTTATTTAAAGAAGCTATAGCTATAGGAAACCTAGAAAATACTATGCACCTCTCTTTCAGAAGTAGTAGAAACTATTTATAAAATTAAATATTATCAACGTGTCATTTCAGTTCGTTATGTGATGATACAATAGGGTTAAACTGTCAACTAAACCAATTTAAATACCCTTCATCTCCCCTCTGCAATTGCTGAAGTCTTTTCTTTGTATGGAAGCATTACTGTAATTAGAATTAGTTAATCATATAATTAGAAGTAATGGACGTTTGGAAGGAGGAAAAAGGAACTAGACCTTTATTCCTCTAAGATTTTCTCTCAAGGACTTCTCCATGGAGAAGTGACAACACGATATTATCTGACCCATTATTTTATACTGCTTTTTATAATAGTAATTAGTAAATTTCATTTTGAAAAGCTGTATAAAACTACCCATAATATGAAAAAATAGAATTTTTTAATAACTATAAGCTTTTGAAATACTAATATAAGAATTAGCTGAAAATTAAAATATTGCAGTTTGCTATTGTTATTACAAAAAGACTTTTGAAAAATCTGTTTTCATTAATGAAATATGTTCAATATAGGAATTATCTGCAGATTATTTATATAATATTTAATATTTTAAATTATTACTATGCTCATATTAAAATAAATATACATTTAAAATGTGACCCTTAATTAATCTTCTGACACTGCAAATATGACTTACAGGTTTCCAGAAATATAGGAAAAGGAAAGAAGAGAAAACTTTCATAACTTTCATAACTTTCAAAACATTCACACTTTTAAAGTTGTGAAAATTCTGTGTATTCTGTTTAGCCCATATTAGGAAATATAAATAATAGAATGAAAAATGTTTATCAATAAAATGTATATGCCTTCAAACAAACATTTACTTTGTTGATCAATATTTTTAAAGTTTCTGAGATTAAATCTGGGGAAAGGAAATCTCGACATAAATATTAGGAGAGCTAGATGAACCATACAAAAGAAAGTACATTCAGACATTTTCTAGCAATAGAAATTGAGGGTGTTCTGTTGAGTTTTCTAATTTCTTTTCAATTTCTCTTTTCCAGTTTAAATTTTTGAAGAATTAACAGAATTATCACTAACACTTCTTCTCAAAGAAACAGCATACGATTTCGTGAACAAAAATTTGATTTTTCAATGTTCTTAAAGTTTTTCAAAACTTATCTTAATATGTACATTAATCACATTATTGGCAGCAGATGATACTCATCAATCTGTAGATGTGATCGTAACATCTGAAGAAGTTTCTTGAACAGGTTGCTCCATACGATCTGGCAAATTGTACTTACTACCATACGTAGTAACAATTTTCAGTGATATTGTAAAGATCAACCACAGATTTGTTTGCCTAAGTCTCCCAGAGGGTTTGTACTTTGTAATATACATAAAAATGTCATGATTTTCTGGTTTCTATTTATTTGAAATCTTTATTTGGTTTATTTCCTTTGTATATACTCAATTGACTATGAAAATTATTCTTCTTTGAAATTTGTTTATTTTTTCAGGTTAATCTCTTGGCTTTCGGATTTATTATATACAAAGTTTTTCGCCACACTGCAGGGTTGAAACCAGAAGTTAGTTGCTATGAGAACATAAGGTAAATGTTTCTTTAAGCCTACTTTCTTTGGTAATGAAAAGCTTTAGTAACTTAAAGTACAAATAAGTTTTGGTAGGACAATTTTTTAAATGATTTTTTTCACATTTTCTTCTGCTATATTTAAAATACTTATTGGTAAATAGCACTTGATAAGACCATAATTACCACAGATTAAATAGGAAGTAAGCAATCTTTTCAAACAGTCCCCTTTGAAAGAAAAGATGATAATTGTGTTTTAAGGCAAAAGTAGGCCTTAGTGATTTTCTTTTGCAAAACGTTTCTCAGAGGTTACTATCTGTGTTTCTTTCCTGTGATTTCTAGTTTGCATGCTCCCACGATTTTTCCTTCAAACTCCTCTCTTTAAGACTGATTTATTGAGACCTCGAAAATGGTTGGTTCAGGAAAAACTGAATGTTCTATAGGGAACATTAGAAATAACTAACATTTGTCTTGCTTGGGAACACTCCTGTAGTTTCAATACCTTGGCAAGATTTATAGTTCGGATTTAGCTAATGTTTGATCGATTACTTTCTTTTACTCCTCACCATTCAGAGTTTCATGTACTGTGCTGGTTTTAATAAAGTTGAAAATGACTCATTTTCTGACGTACATTGCTAAAACATCTTCTGCAGTAAAGAATGATTGGACTAAGTATGAATGAGAAAATAAGCATTAGTTGCCTCATTTTCAAGGCAATGTCCTCAGTGAACAGAACCGAATGTTGTTTTACCAAAAGTCAGGGCAATAAGTTGAAAATATGTAACAGTGAGTATATGTGTGTATTTTTTTTAATTTTTAAGAAATCAGTATTCTGACATGACTTTATTTTGAGGTAACTATATTGCAAAGCAAAAAAAAAAACAAATCTAATTTTATATCTTACACTTTCTTCTCTACTAAACCTGAAAAGAAAGCAGAAGCCTCCTTTGATGTCATGCTCATGTGCTGACCCAAGTTCATATGGCATACTTTTCAAGGTTTCTTAGGAAAAATACTTCCTAATAGTTATATGTCTTACCTTCGGGAATTACCGCAACATTAAATTTGAAATCAAAGTGTATACATACACTGCAGTACACCAGATAAAAATATTTTTAGATCAAGAAAATTCCTTGAAAATACCATATTTTAATAATGCTGCCTTGGTTTTGGAAGCACATCCCTGCCACAGTGCAGCAGCATACCCTCAAGGCTGTCCCATGTAACTGTAGCATGATTTGTCAGTTTCAAAATCATTATTGGTCTTTGCAGAAGATTTGTTGGCTATACCAAAAACTCATTTCCCATATAATTTGAGGAATTTGGAGATGTGTTGAGTATATGCAGCTTTCTTAACGGACACCTTTCAAATATGTTCCAGGTCTTGTGCCAGAGGAGCCCTTGCTCTCCTGTTCCTTCTTGGCACCACCTGGGTCTTTGGGGTTCTCCACGTTGTCCACGCATCAGTGGTAACAGCTTACCTCTTCACCGTCAGCAATGCCTTCCAGGGGATGTTCATTTTCTTATTCCTGTGTGTTTTATCTAGAAAGGTAAGCGTTTTGTTATTTTGGTCAACTCTATAATTCATGTAGCATCAGTTACCAAATTGATAAAAATTCTTATTCTCAGAGATTTATGACTTGTGCCTTTTTTACCTAAATGTAGTACATTTTAGTATTGAGATAATCAGAACACTTAGCTGTTCATAGGGAAATATACTTTGTAAAAAGTTGCTTTTAGGACTATAAATATAGCTTATATTCACCTGAGCATATTCTGACAGATAATCAGAAAACAATAATAATTTAGAAAACCAAATATAACAATTTAGTATGATTTGGAAATAATTTGATGTGTTTGGTGCAATTATGTTTAACAGTTCTTCCTTTCTTTTTCTATTTTTCAGATCCAAGAAGAATATTATAGATTGTTCAAAAATGTCCCTTGTTGTTTTGGATGTTTAAGGTAAACAGAGAGAACTATGGATAAATATTGCTACCCAAAAATAAAAAAGCCAAGCTGTGGATGGCCAATGTATAAAAATGACGCAAATCATCCAATGATTAATTACTAGATAATCAAATATTTTAAATCAGTTTCTCTGTTTACAGTGTAGAAACTGTAGATAATAAGAGGTAAAATTATATACCATATAGCTGTAGTATGCTTTCCTACGTGACTTAGTTATGTCAAAAATAGTATTGCAGTTTTTTGGAAAGTAATTGGTTTCTTGGGAGTGATATCACTGCACCCAAGGAAAGATTTTCTTTCTAACACAAGAAATATATGAATGTCCCGAAGGAAACCACTGGCTTGATATTTTTGTGACTCATGTTGCCTTTGAAACTAGTCCCCCATCACCGTGATAATGAGCTCCCTTACAGAAGATGGAACAAAAGAGAATGAAGGGGCACAATATAAAACAGAAAAAAGGGAATGGCTGTTAGAACAATGAGATGTATTTTGAGTAAACTTGTTTTTTTGTAAACTAGATGAGAAAATTACAGAGATAAAATAAGGAATTGAATAAACACATCTTACCTTTTCGAGAATTGTTCTGAACTTAAATTTCCACTAAAACAACTTAGACCTCTACTTCTTATATACATTTTCTTTTCTAATATTCTAAAAAACCACAAAACTTCACAAGAGAAAAAAACAAACATTTCTCTTCTATTTTTAGGTCAACATTAGAGTGAGGTATATCCTGTTGCTATACTTATTTCACAGATTGTGACTTCAAATGCTTAATCACTAATACATAAATGTGTCAAAAAATAATATTGTTCATGCCTGTAAATGTAAAAATAGTGTATATAAAGCTGAGGTATTCTATTCTATAACCTTTCAATGTAGTCAAAAATACTGTATCTCATTAGACTAGTATATTTGAGTTCTGTATTTTTTTTAATATTAGAAATATTGTAGTTCACTTTGTAGTATTCCCTTTTAACCTACTATTTTTAAAAGGGCATTGTAAATACGAAAGTATTCATAAAGTGAATTGCTATTTTTTTCTGTTCAGAAAAGTACACATTTAAAATTGTTGTTTATAACAAAGGAATCACTGAGAACTGTAGAAATTTTCACAGTGAATCTATTTTCTGACAGTTTTCTACTATCTCTTAAGGCATATCTGCTTAAATGTACAGCTTCTATCTATTCTCAAATCTCATTAAAATGTAGAAGCAGTGATTTTATTTCCAAAATATGTAATTGTTCTGTACCAACCTATAAAAGTATGCTAATACACTAAACGTTGTGATTTTAAATTAATTTTTCCAGCTGTTACAATTAAGCCTGTCAAATCTTGCTCTAACAAATAAAATGTTATCTAAATGATACTGCTGCAGCTATGCTGAGTTGTTTTCTCAAGAAAGATGAGCTACCTGCCAATATGTCTCATATGTTTTTAGAAGATCCGTGATAATAACTTTTCATTACATCTTCTGATCTTATATGGTAAGCCTATGACCAATTATTATCATTGTCATTATAGGACAGTGGTATAGGAATGTAATATTGAAAAACTAATCTGTCTAATCAATGTACACAAAATGGTGTGTGGTAGGCAGAATAATGGCCCTCCCAAAATGTCCATGCCTTAATCTTCAGACCTGTGACTATTAGTTACTGTAACTATTAGTTACCAGGAGAGATTATCCTGGATTATTCAGGTGGGTCCGCCGTAATCACAAAGGTCTTTATAAGTGAAAGAGGGAGGCAGAAGAGGGAGTGTGTCAGAGCGATGCAGCATGAGACGTACTCAACCAGCCACTGCCAGCTGTGAAGACAGAAACAGTCCACAAGCTAAGGAGTGCAGGCAGCCTCTAGAAGCTGAAAAGGGCAAGGAAATAGATTCTCCCCTAGAGCCTCTGGAAGGAAATTAGCCCTTCTGATACCTTTATTTTAGCCCAGTTCAGACTTCTAACCTCCAGATCTATAAGATAATAAATGTATATTGTTTTCAGCCACCAAGTTAGTTGATAATTTGTTATAAGCTTATTGACAATTTTTTGACAATTTGTTACTTCAACTATAGGGAGCCAACACCATGGAAATGTGTATGTAATAACATCTTTAGAGATACGCAACTGTTCATATCATTAGGGCAGACCTTAACTCCAGGGTCTTGTTCTCATCAACTCTCCTGTAGATACCATTGGATAAAGCCTATATTCTTTAGCATGAGATTTCAGATCTTCTCATAGCTGCTTACCTCCCTGGTTTTCACTTTTGCCCTATGAAAGTTTCTTTGGTCATACCACGCTATTTATCTTTCCCAAAACTTACCATGGTTTACCAAATTCCCTATTTCTGGAATTTCCTCCTTGTTACCGTTATTGCTCTGACAAACATCTACTTATCCCTAACGTAACTTTCCCTATGAAGCTGTCCTTGACTCACATAAGGAATTAATAACTTCCATCTTGTGCTACCACTCCATCTAGTACTTATCTATTTTAACATTTATCACATTGTATTGCAATTGTTTAGCCTGAGCTCGAGACATTTATTGTACCCAATTTTGTTCTTCCTTAAAAGCAGGTATCTTTTCTCTTTTTTGTTTCCTGCATCAGTGTTACTGTCTTCTGCTGCCTTTTGACCACACGATGGATGTAATAAGAGGGTCTGGACCCTCTGAACAGTCTGGCTTTTGCTCTTTAGCTTTAGGGATCTCATACTGGAAGCCCATTGGGCAAGTTGGCTTTCTCAGGTAAAGCTCCTCCATGCTTGTCTCGAACGTGCTTGCAATTGGTGGGAAGAGATGGCCCAGCAATCTCAAATTGGTGAAGTAGGAAACCAGGCAGAGAAATTAGGCCACCAATGTAGCCTTGAGCTCATACAGTGGCTTCAACTCAGTTTTTCCAGGAAAGATCTTCTTTGGGGATTTGTAAGGAGCTTGCCAAACTACTAATAAAGCAGTTCTTCATTTTCCATTTGGCTGTTATTCCTCATGTACCACTTCTTCATTTGATACTGAGTGGGGTAAACTTAAGGATTTTAGACTCAATCTCCTCAACCCCTAAAATGTATCATAAATTCGTTAATAAATACTGATTTACAAACCCTTTTTCATAAACAAATGAGGATGCGAAGAGTTATACGATCTCAACAGATTCAATCAAAGAACTCAATACTTTAAGTTTGGTCTCAATGAGACAAATGGACACCAAAGAACTATAAGATAAATTCCCTGACTGTGTGAAAACTTGCTATTAACCAGAGGCACCTTAATCCCCTAATAAAAAATATCTTTTGGTTGATTGATTACACTGTGATTGTGTACACACAATACAACAATTAGACAAAGTATAAGAAAGTCTATAAGGAAATACTCTACAATCTGCATGCTAGGCATAATGAACAAATCGGTCATACTAATTTGATGATGACATCATTTCTTCAGTCTCTTTTAATTCAATGTCACCCCCTAAAATTAAACAATAACTCTGCATTTCTTAATTTTCTACATATCCGATCTAACTTATTGTACCCATCTTCAATACCTTACAAAATATGAGCCTTTTATATATATTAATATTATTCTCTAATTTCTTCTACATGAAATCTTTGAGGAAAGCATGAATTATGGATCCGGTATGGATCCAGAAAGAGTACTCATTGTTCAGATTTTTCCTCTACCTGAAATGTCTTCTCTCATGCAAATTTTTTTTTTTTTAATTTTTATTTCTTTATTTTTCCCCCAAAGCCCCAGTAGACAGTTGTATGTCATAGCTGCACATCCTTCTAGTTGCTGTATGTGGGACGCGGCCTCAGCATGGCCGGAGAAGCGGTGCGTGGGTGCGCGCCCGGGATCCGAACCCTGGCCGCCAGCAGCGGAGCGCGTGCACTTAACCGCTAAGCCATGGGGCCGGCCCTCTCATGCAAATTCTACTCATCATTCAAGACCTCCCACTGTGAAGCCTCTCTGATCAATTTGGCCCTTATTAATTTCCCCAAACACCACAACTATAGCACTTCCAGAGGGTATAGAATAACATAGCACTTACTAGGGGCCATTGTGAAGTCATCATGCCGTGTTCAAACTTAAAACTTTCAGGTTTTAGATTATAGATATGAGAGAAATAACTTAGAGATGGCATTCAAAGGAAAAAAAGATTTCTCCCTGAAAGTTGATACAGATTTCAGTTGTTAAATTGCACGATCTCATTTAATTCTCAGGGTAACATATGCAATTCTAGCCTCATTTTTCAATGTGAAAAGTACTCAGTGTCACTCAGCTAGGAAATTGCAAAGTCAGTGATGAAACTGAAAGCTCCTGCTCCTTCTGCTGCCCCCTGTGGACTCTGAGGAACTTGCTCAGACTCTGTTAGACAGGAAGTTAAAGTGACTGCATCCATACCCAGGCTTTCTGCCTCTAAGGCCAGAGCATGTTCCACTGTTCCATAGCTATAAGCTCACATAGCATAAGGACAATATTCCTCTTTACACTTATGTTCTCTTGGGGATGGAAGAAGCATGACATGCTTTTTGAAGATGGCATTTTAACATATCTTTTCTACATGCACATGCAATTTGAAATAAGTGCACATCATATGTTTTAAGGTGAAGTGTTTTTCTTCTTTTGTCTTTGCTTGGCTGTCCTTTCCCTGCACATTTATTTCTATTTTCCATCCCCACTCACACCCTCAACCAGGCAATTCGTTTTAACAACTCGTTATATATCCTTCCATATTTGTCTTTCTATTCAGATCATCATATTCAAAACATTAATATGAGATCACATTACAAAAACATCTCTGTTACCTGCTTTTTTCACTTGGAAAGCTAATTGGTATAGCTCATTCACTCTTTTTATTGACTGAATAATATTCCTTAGCGAGGATGCTCATAAACTGCACAGCTGGTATGCAATCTGGAAAAATGTAATAATCCATTAGAAGATTTCAGTATCTTTCAGAAATAATGTTCTCCATGCCATGTGGCTTGGTTTTGTCGTTGAAAATATGAAATGCCAATGGTTATTTTTTATCCTATAAGGGATGAGAACCTGAGTTGATAAGCCAAAACATCACAACCCTTTCATTGACGTAGAGGTTGCTCATTATTTCTTGTAAGTATTCGGTGAAAACCATACCATGGATTTGAGATCCACAGAGCTCCTTGAGCATTTTCACTTAAGTGAGAGGATTTGAATTATTTACCCTAGATTGAAGGCTCGAACAAGCATTAAGATCGGTAGGCAATCTGAAAGTACAGACCATTTTACTTGGTATTTCATTCAGACATTACACATCATAGATTTGTATGTTAGTTATGATTAACATAAAATGAGAGGGTTGGTTCAGCAGCAATGGATCTCTTCCGGTGCCAACGTACCATGATGCTAAGTCCAACCCCCTACTTTGAGGCATTGTAAATAATAAAATATATAAAGGATATTACAATTTTATGCACTCAAAAATAAGGGAAAAAATAATAGGTTGCTTCCAAAATTGTCCTTAAGAAACATGGTTTCATTTCCTATTGGGCTGCAATTTGCCATATTTCAGGTCCAAGGTCCAGGCTGCTCAACCTGAAAATGATTATTTTCTGTCTTTTCCTTAAAGTATCAGAAGTGGATCTAAAAGAACCCCCAGTATGCAGGGGGGTTAATTATCCTGGCAGTCAGTTAAGCTGTGGAAGTTTTAGGTGATAAGAACAGAGCCCTAAAAAGGACTCCCTGCTACGGCTGCCTGCTGTGAAGAAGGAACCATGTGCTGCCGCTGCTGCAAATATTGTTCAAATTACTCTAACATTGCCTCGGTTTTTCTGTGCATCCTGGCTCCTGGAGAGCGGCACTGTTCCAGTGAGGTCATTTATTCTGTCACTTCAGCCCACTCGGCAATCATGACAACTGCATCTTTCACTCAATCTAATGC